GAGGAAAGAAACTCATCTACAGCCTCGGCATGCCGTAGTCCACGTTATCGAACTTTCCATTCGTGGTCCTCCGTAATGCGCCACGAGAGCTTCCTCTAACGACGCACCTAATTTTCTCCAACGTTTAAGTGAGCTCCGCTAATGCATCGCCAAGATGCTGATTGCTCCGGTTGCAAATTCGCCAAAGCGTGGAACACGATGGAAGACCTTCGGGCTTTACGGTGCCGGTTTTTCGGGATAGATCAGAGCGCTGTGTTTTTTTTTTTATGTCTCATTCAGAAAAAAAAAAAAGAATGGTGAATGGAGTTGAATGGTTGTCGGTATATGGAGAAAGTGTATGCTTGTAGCTAAGAAAAAAAACAAGTAACACATTCTGGATCAAGTGATCAACCACTGAATTAGGTAACAATAAGAATTAAAAAAAAACTTAAACGAGCGCAACTTATTTTGCGAAGCCACTTACTCAGCTTTTCTTATTCGTCTAAAGCTTATTTTTAGTGATGCAGCAACAGTTACGTTAGCTGCTGCGGTAGGGCGTGAAGAGTAGGTGGACCTCTCATGAAGGGAAAGTTACAAAAAAAAAACGATGAACGGAGAAGTTTCCTCTTTAGGTGTCTAAGAAGTTGAATAGAGAAGGGGTAGAGAGATTATGAGAGAATGAGTGTGGCTGCACATAATTCGGACCACGTTAATGGCCACCCAAGTCGTTTCGGGAGCCGCTGCTAACCATGCAGAACGGCAAGGATGCGGATTTCAGTGATGGCCTCTCAGAAAGCTTCGTGGCAGTGAAAAAAAAAATTGGTAAGTAAGAATGAAGAGTACGCCGAATGTTACACACTTCGTAATTGTGATAGGCTTTGTGACAGGTCATTGGCTTCCCGGGCTCTTCGTCACGCAGGCGTTAGGCTTAGCCACGTTCGAATACACACTACAAGCTTCTGGAGCGCTTCCGCTACAACAATATTTTTCTGAACATCATGTGTTTCTATCTATAGGAGCCTCACTCTAAATGATTAAATCATAAAGGCAAACAACAAACTGAAGCAGGTGAAAGTAATGACTCCGTGGGCGCCATGGAAAGAGAGAGAGAGAGAGAGAGAGATAAAGATGCAAGGAAAGGCAGGAAGGTTAGCCAGACGCACATCCGGTTTGCTACCCTGCACTGGGGAAGGGATAAAGGGGAGAAAAGAGGTTGCAGAAAGATGAGAAGGTACAAACACCACGAGGTCTGTAGATTTGATGCGAAAACCACTATGACATAAACTTATAAACAGTGCGTTCATAAAGATTATAGACAATGATGCGCTATAAAAAACGCTATATTCCAGGTCCTTCGCCAGGCAGCTTTGAGATTGATTACCGACCTGTTCTTTACAGCACTAACAAGTACTGCGCAGTTATACCGAATAGGATTACGAGTAGCTGGAAAATGTATGTTTTCCCAGACGAAGTGGTCGGTAAACTCTTGACACCGACAGTAAAAATGACAAAAATGATATACAGGGAGACACCTTGATCGACAACTTGCGGGCGACAAAGAGACGCGAAGCAATCAAGAAAGAGTGACGGTAAAAAAAAAGAAGGAAAAGAAAAGGTGGAGGTGTGAGAGGGAGGCGATGCATTCTTACAGTTAGTTGCTCCAGCTCCCTTTGTTATTACTGCCGTGGTGAAGCACTTATATAAATATATATCCTTGCCCGCTCAAATCATCTCGGCACACAGACGCCGTTTGAAAACTACGTATTCGTCGGTTTAAGAACCATGCTTGCTTCTTTGCTTTTCCAGATAATCTATTTTCTTCGGCAGAGTGAAATCTTCAGGACAGACCATCAAGAAAACAAGTTACATAACGCACTGGAAAGTAGCAAAAGAGCAGAAAGAGATCGTGTAAGTGCAACGGCAGAAAACAACGCGAGGCACAGAAAAAGGGAAATTGGTGAGAGCCAAAACACGATCTCTACCAAGTATACGTGAGAAGAGTAAGGGGAAGGGTCGAAGGAAAGGGGAGGAGAAAGCATGAGCGTAACGTTACACAAAATGAAACGCCTGGCACAATAGAACGATAGAGGGGAAGAGAAACGGGCAAAGAAATAGGCTAGGGTACAGCTGCAGATACGGAAGTTTTGCGAGAGGTGGGGATGAAAGAAGAAAAAGAGTTGTCGGCTTCTTTCTACGTGCGACGGAACAGAAGCAGCTTTTTGTCTAGCGTTCGCGATAACGAAACAAGAACGAAGAAACGGAGTGGCCTGGCCAGAAATGATACGTGGAACAGAGTGAATGAAGTGCCAAACTGTGCGAGAGGAGCGCGACAGTAGAAAAGGTCACAATGCTGCGAAACAAGGTACAAGAAGACACAATGAAGGGACGAAATCGAGTCTAGCCCCCGAGTGAAAGTCTTGGCTGCCAGCGAAGACGCAATGAAAGGTGTGGGGAGGCAGGGGGTGCATCTTTGACGCTCACTTTACTGTATATATTGTTACGAGACAATGCCCCACTTAAACAGTGAGATAGGCGCTGAGGAAGACGAGGTGATAAAGTGCGAGCCGTGCGTAACTTCCCTGTTCCGACCTGCACTAAAGAAGTACGCAGCTTTCTCGGTCTGTGCTCGTACTTTCGACGTTTTGTGAACAACTTTGCGGAAGTCGCCCGTCCTCTCACAGACTTATTGAGAAAAGATGTCTCATTCACATGGGGCGCTGCGCAGGCTACGGCGTTCTCTACACTTATTGAATCGCTAACAAAACCACCTGTTCTGGCCCATTTCGACGTTTCTGCCCCTACAGAAGTACACACAGATGCCAGCGGTTACGGAATCGGTGCTGTTTTGGTTCAGCATCAAAGCGGCTGCGCCCGCGTTATCGCCTATGCCAGCCGTCTCCTCTCGCAGGCGGAAAGGAACTACTCCATCACCGAAAGGGAATGCCTTGCTCTCGTTTGGGCAGTAGCAAAATTTCGGCCTTATTTACATGGTCGACATTTCACTGTCATAACCGATCACCACGCACTTTGCTGGCTCTCGTCCTTGAAGGACCCCACTGGGCGCCTTGGTCGATGGGCACTACGGCTTCAAGAGTATAACTACTCGGTGTCCTACAAATCTGGCCGTTTACACCATGACGCTGACTGCTTATCTCGGAATCCAGTGGACCCACCTGAAGCGTTCGATGAATCGCCATGTGTGCTGTCTCTCTCCGCTTTAAGCAACATCCGTGAGGAACAGCGCCGAGATCCTACCTTGCGTAACATCATCGAGAAGCTTCATTCTGCGGCACCCGATCCTTCTACTCGATTGTTCGTGCTTAAGGATGACACATTGTACCGTTGCAACGTCCGCCCTGATGGACACGAACTGCTCCTTGTAGTACCTTCCCACTTACGTGCGAGCGTGATCGGCCAGCTTCATGACGCTCCCACTGCCGGTCACCTCGGACTGTCTCGGACGTATGACCGCGTACAGCGTCGATTTTACTGGCCCAGTCTTTATCGCTCGGTCCGCAGCTACGTCGCCTCATGCGATCAGTGTCAACGCCGCAAAAAACCTTCTATGAGTCCTGCCGGGTTCCTTCAACCACTTGACGTTCCCTTTGATCCCTTCTTCCGACTTGGTCTTGACCTCCTAGGCCCTTTCCCTGCATCCACTTTGGGGAATAAGTGGATAGCTGTCGCGACGGATCATACAACCCGGTACGCTATCACGCGGGCTTTGCCAACCAGCTGCGCCACAGACGTTGCCGATTTTCTCCTGCACGACGTCATACTTCACCATGGCGCCCCACGCCAACTCCTAACAGATCGTGGGCGCTATTTCCTTTCCCGAGTTATCGACGACCTGCTTCGCTCCTGCGAGACGAAACATAAATTTACGACAGCTTACCACCCGCAAACTAACGGACTCACTGAACGATTCAACCGGACTTTAACTGATATGCTCGCTATGTACGTATCGTCCGACCACCAGGACTGGGACGTTGCATTGCCCTTCGTTACGTTTGCCTATAATTCTTCACGCCATGATGCAGCTGGTTTTTCACCTTTCTATCTGGTGTTTGGCCGTCATCCAACTTTACCTTTCGACACCATCTTTCCGACAGCCGTCGACTTCACGACTGAATACACCCGTGATGCTATCACCAGGGCTCGCAAAGCACGAGAAGTTGCTCGTCAGCGCCTTTTAGCATCGCAAGATCACCAGCGGCATCGTTACGACTCACATCACCGCCAAATTTCCTTTACACCAGGTTCTCTTGTGCTATTGTGGACTCCGACTAGACGCGTCGGACTTTCTGAAAAACTGCTTTCCCGGTACTCGGGACCCTACCGCGTATTGCGCCAGGTGACAGATGTGACATACGAGATAGCCCCGCTCGAGTCTTCCTCCGCCTCCGCTTCGCTGTCTACAGACATTGTCCACGTATCCCGCCTTAAGCTTTACCACTCGGCAACACAATAGAAAGCACCGAGACGGTGCTTCAGCACCCGGGGGTTATGTTACGAGACAATGCCCCACTTAAACAGTGAGATAGGCGCTGAGGAAGACGAGGTGATTTGGTGTGTGCGCGCGCTCTCTCTTGTTCGCCATCTTGGCTTGCGCGTTGGCGCTGTGTAAATATATTTTAAAACGCCTAGTTTCCCTTGTGCCTTCACGCAACAATATATTTTTTTCTTATACGGAGAACAAGATGATGGCTAAAAAGGAGCGATCGCCATTGCAGTCTTCGTCATCATCATCACTACCATCACCGCCAGCTTTCCGCTTCGCTCCGCACTTTTTCCTCCGTCTGCATTTTCTACGGTTCGAATAGAAAGAGTAAGAGTAGCACGCGAGAAAAAAAAAAGCGGACAAAGGAGACAGCCCAGGAGAAAAGGAGTTGATTGCAGATACTGTTCATGGAGTCACTTGCACGCCCTCTTTTCCCCACGTTCATCGATGCCACGCCCTTTTATCCTCGATCCAGGGTTACATCCCCGGAGGCATGTTTGTCTCGTTAGTTAAAGGCAGCATGCCCTCTCGCGCCGCTTTTGAATCGACGCAGGGAAGAGTCCAAGAGGAAGAAGCAGCTCTCCGAGGGAAGACAGAGGGCTCGGAGGATGAGGAGAGTAAAGGCGGACAGGAAGGACGATAGTGAGGGTGGAAGGTTGTCGTCGTCTTCGACCGTGTCTGTTTCGTTCACGCGTGATGAGAACGAAGGTTGCCGACTGAGAAAAAAGCACTCTTGATGAGGAGCCAAATGGGGGACCGGGGGTTTTCTGCCGCGCTAACGTCTTTTCCTCGAGGTCTCGGCGAGAGACGGCGCTTGGCGATAGTATCACCCACGTGGGAACACAGCGTTTCCTGTGGCCACCTTTGCCTTCATTTTTCGTAGATTGTTCCCTTCTTTTCTCCTTACATTTGTTTCGTTCATTCAGTTGTGCGGACTCCCTCCTTGTCGTGTAGTTTCGTCGAAAGGCGCAAACGAGCCGACGTTCAGGCGAAAACGTGATACTTAAATAGGAAATATGGGACGCAACAACGGCGCTTCTGCCATAGTGAATGCATCGTTGCTCTCAAGGTGCATTGTGAATTGGCCCGTCTGTGTGGCCACATTTTTGTGATCTCCTACTTGGTGTTCACGGTGAACTGTTTCAAGGCACCCTAGCTTCGTGCATAACATATACTTTTCCTCATTTTGTAACTAGTAAATGAAAACATGGGCAATCGTTTCAGAAAAGCTAGAAAGCACAACATCGAGCAAACAGATTTTAGAAGCGTTCGAGAGTTCTGTGTGCACTACCTATGAGGTTCGACAGCTTCACTGACCGTCAGGGACAAGTCGTCAAAATAAATGTATGCATTGTTTTGACGCTGAATACAAAGCTCTTTGATGTGGTAGAAAATACATTGTAAAGAAATCAAGATACAAGGAAGTCACACAGTGTCCGTACCATACACCCTAAAGAATACTTCAGTTTGAAAGTTATGAGGTGGTTAGGTGGTTATCAACAACACAACGCTTTCATGCAAAGAGCCAAAATTCTACCCTTGCAATTTGCAGTGCTTTCTGTATAGATTAACGGTTAAGATCATCATCTGCTTATCTGAAATAAACAGAGGTAAGAGAGAGTAAGATATGTTCTAATGTACTACATGAGCAGCCCAACGAAGGAAATCTGTGTGAGAGAATTTGTTTACATAACTTACTCTCTTTTTTTTGTTTATCTGCGGGAGCTATGGAATCCGGCATTTAGAAAAAGTTCTCGGTGAACCACATTTAAAGCACTGAGTTTCATTTAGAATAAATCATTACAACAGTTACGCAAGAAAGCATTAATATTCCTGTCATTCCCAACGCATTTCTTGGATATTTTTTTTTCAAAATACTCTCTGACGTTTCATGGGGCTGCTGCGTAAGTTCTTAGAAAACCATCTCATTACTTTGTGTTATTGTGCATGCTTGCATTGTGGATTTTCGCAAGCTGACTCCAGTGAAAAAAGAAAACTCTCTCAGTGCAGCACTGTAAAAAAAAAGCTGAAACCGGGAATGGAAATAACGTGAAACAATTCATAAAAACGAGTGTCGAGAATCTCTAGTTTTTGTTTGGTTTGTGATTTTTTATAGTCTTTATCTTCCTTTCTACCTTACAGTTAACTTTTCACATTAAATTGAAGTTCTGCTACCAGGTCCTCTTGCTAAACTTCTTTAGCTGCTGGATGAATGCGTCAGTAAAAGTGTATGACGTCGTTTTTAGAATACTGGGGCTATAGCGAACTATAATACACACAGAAATATGTCCCGAATACCTTCAAATTTAAAAAAAAAGTTACTAAACTTGTTAGAAAAACGGCGTGACTCGTATTGGAATAGCATTTTTTTGTGTGTGTGCTCTTCAAGAACGGACTGAAGCTCGTTTTGGCATATTCGAGCCTTCTCAATAATTAGGCAGATCGAGCACAAACTCTGTGACCTTGTTTTACCCTCACAGTCAAGACCTGACACGTGTCTGAAGCCGCTTCAAGCAGTGATGAAGGGCATGAGCTTCGATGTACTCGGAGTTCCGAATCTAGTTCCTGCTTTGTATATCGCCCTTTTCTCGCGTGCCATTATCAAGGTGCACGAGAGAAAATGATCCAGAGGTCTGTATGTACGTGACTCCAATATAAAAAGCGGAATGTGGATAATGGGTTAAACAAAGCACAAAGGAAGATGACATTTCTGTAAAAAAACAAAAAGTATAAAGTAACGCCATGAAACGTCTTGGGAGGAGATGTCCGTGGGATGGACATTCATCTTCAATTCATTGAGAAAAAAAAAACTTTGCAGGTCTTACTTCTTTGAGGGACCTTTTCGGGTCTTTCGGACAGCGTTTGACATCTAAGTAGTTGACTTTTCCTTACCCGGGAGTTTTTTCTGACCTCGTCTTCTTGTCATCTCTGCTAAGTGTGAAAATTCATTACGTTTTTTTCGACAATAATTAGCATCAGCCGTTCATATTATGCTATAGCTTTCCCCTGACATACGCAAATGGAAGCGTGGGTGCAGTGCTCCCTGCCCCATAGAGAGACCAGTTCGAAGATTTCATAATGTGGTTCGACCTCCCCTCTAGTCTGCGCTCAACAGCATAAAACAAGATCAAAAAGGGCAAAAAAATACTACTAACCTACACAATTAACCGGAGTAGTAGCAAGATCCCTTCCCATTGTCCTGGAAAGCTCGTATGACACGTCAGATACGCAGGGCCAACGACAGCTTATCCGAAAATCGTAAAATGCTATTGCGAAAGGTATTGGAGAAAGCGCAGATGACGATATGCCCGTGAGAGCATACGAGAAGGGGAAGCTTATACGCCTAGCTAATGACGAAGCACGTACCGAATGGACAGCCGGCCATCAAGCACGAACAAAAAGAAAACTTATAAAATAAATGTGCACTGTACGTCCTCCTTCGCAAAGTATATCGAATTTGAATTATGATAATGCAGTGTCCATCGGGCGTGCAGCCTACCGCAAGCTAGCTAAAAGAGAAATAGCAAGGTATATACTTCCACGTGTACAACTTTCGTGTTTCCCGTCATATTTTTCTCATTCTCAGCTCGTGCTATCCTTGGCTTCACCCTCCACGCCCTAAAGCTTTCTAATGCACAAATTCGGTCGAGCGCGAGATTTGGCCCCTTCCCACCTTTTGAAGCGCCCAGTGGCGTGAACAAGAAATGACGCCCTGTCCCTGTGATTTTCTGGCTGCTTTTTGTGAATCTATCTAGTACGCCTCTTTTTTCGTCTTCTTCATTGTTTTGATATTTTATCCTTTTTGACTAATCTGCTTCTCTATACGTTTTCACTCATTTGCTTGTGTTTTTTTTCCGGATTGAAGCACGAAAGTCTCCTTGCTCTGAACTCTGGGTATCTCTCTGCTCGTCAAATTTCTATTCGTTTCCACGTGTTTCCAATGCCACGTTTCTTTGGCACTGGTGCTCCTGCCTTTGATCTTTTAACTGCGTTTAGAAGATGGAAAGACTCTCGTTCGGCTTCCTTGCAAACCCTCGCGTGAAATGATTTCGCCGGCCACCCTAAGGAAGAGATGTAAGAGCTCATTTCCGTCGTACTTTTCCAAAGTTCGGTGCCATTCCATGCTTGCCTGGAAAGAAAACAGTGGAAAAAAGAATTCTAGGTGTCGCGTATTCCGGTGTGATTTATTTAGGAGAGCTAAAGGGAAAAGCTTCTTAGAGATGTTGCAAGGTCCTTATGTGCAACGATGGGGGGGGGGGGGGGGAAGATGGGGCTTAGCACGGATTTACATGATGATATTACTTTAGCAAAACTAACAAACCATTCTCAACTTCCTGGTCATTTGCTATTTTTATTTCGCAGACACATTAATGCTCTCTTTACATTATTAGCGCTGTAGTAAACGACTTGGTTTTTTTCAATCTAGGAAGGAAGAAACAATAAAAGTGACAAATTTTTGATTGATTGATATGTGGGTTTTACGTGCCAAAACCGCCATATGAATATGAGAGACGGTGTAGTGGAGGGCTTCAGAAATTTCAACTTCCTGGGGTTCTTTAATGTGCACCTGAGCCGGGGCACACGGGCCTACAGCATTTTCGCCTCCATCGAAGAATCAGCCGCCGCTTCCGGGAATCGATACCCCGACCTTCAGGTCAGCAGCCGAGTACCCTAGCCACTATAGACCACCACGGCGGAGAACAGTCATGAATTGTACGAGACCTTTGTAATTCTTGGTACTTTTGTTCTATATATAGTTTCGTTTAGCAAACGTCAATATTGTATTTGTTGTTGACACATTCTGCAGCTCCTCCACTATGCCCCTTCTTCCTACACCCCCCTCCCCCTTCACACGCTAACTTTCATATAACAAATACAAACCACACTGTGCTGAAAATTTCTGCCACTTCATTAGACGTAATACGATGGGGAATGATCACTATTTCGAATATCTGCTACGGAAAGAGGTGTACCTCACTGAATTCACGTTATTGCAGCTCCAATGAAATGTATCGGAAATGGTATTTGTCGCTTGAACAGCTAAAATATATACTGCACTGACGCAGCGCCTTGGTGCTAAGGGCTCTCATTCTCAAAGCTATACCTCGCACGTTGGGGTGGTGGTTAGCTGCTGTTTACTGATTGTGACGGAATGCCAAGTCTGGCCTCTGGAGAGCCCACTGTCACAAAACCAACACACATTAAACTGGTGACGAGTGTTTATTAAAAGAAGTATGTTGTTAGGTTTTCGGCGCCTAAAGTTAGTGCGATGTCAGGGTAGTTTTATCTAGAACGCTTACGTCAAAGCGGCCAGATTTGCAGCTGCATGACGCTGTTATCACACACAAAAAAAACTTATAGAAGTGGTTTAAAAAAAAAGAAAAGCAATAATAGTGTCGCGTTTCTAGGCACGAGTTCTGTACATACACATAAAAACGCATACAAGAGCACAAGTTCATTCTGAACCCTCTTTGATGGAGCAAGCCACCAAATACAAAATATTTGGAAGACAAAGTAGTCGAAAGCTGACCGATTCATTTTTTGCTCCTTGAGTCTGCTTGCATCGTTCAGTGTACTGCGGTCCTTGATAACGATGTTGATGATATGTGGGGTTTAACGTCCCAAAACCACCATATGATTATGACAGACGTCGTAGTGGAGAGCTCCGGAAATTTTGACCACCTGGGGCTCTTTAACGTGCACCCAAATCTAAGCACACGGGCCTACAACATTTCCGCCTCCACCGGAAATGCAGCCACCGAAGCCGGGATTCGATCCCGCGACCTGAGGGTCAGCAGCCGAGTACCTTAGCCTCTAGACCATCGCGGCGGGGCTTGATAACGATGTCACAATTACAGTAAAACTTTGTTACTTTCAGCTCAATTGCTTTGTTTTAGCCTATCAGCACCATCGAAATGTGCGTCCAGTGTAAGTGATCTTAAGAAACAGCGCTAAACTCAGTTACCACCTAAGAATAAACGCAAATTTCACCCACAGCCATCGCTGTCTTACCCAAAGAAAACCTGCGTAGACGTTCCATTTAATGACATTTGTTCATTTTCGTGACGTCATCTTTCATCGCATGTTTCACATAATCGGTGTGCCCATACAGATACATGTTATTGTCACTGGCTATCAATCTAAATCGAAATCTTAGCAAGTTTCTCGAGATATTCTGACATTACTGCTTAGCCGTAAGGTTTATTTTAGACAGTAATGACAAACCTTGAGTTTTCTATGTGCGTAGAATGGACCTTTTTCAGGAGATTAGGCTGCGCTTGCGCAGTGGTAGTGACGTCACGCGTGCCATCTTTTTTTTCTGGGGTGGGGGGGGGGGAATCACTAGAAGGCGACAGTTGCAAGTTATCAGAAAAAACACCTGGGGCCCAAGATTTTCTTTTTGCAACTTCGGAGGCTTGTGACCCCCAGTTTCGATTTCGGTGATCTCCACTGCAGGCGCTGTTCGGACATGAAGAAGGCCCGTTTACTTGAGCGGAGAAAAAGGGCTTACGGCTTGATTGAAAGCCAAGTTGCTCGGCTCTCTTCCATGGTTAACCGAAAGGCACTCACTGTCTCGTGGTTAGAGCTTGTACCTATTCTTAGGTTGCAGCCGAACGTAAGCCTTGTTTTGTAAACTTCACCGGATCTTTCTTTGTTTTCGTCTGCAGGGGCCACCACGTCCGGCCAGGGTCCTCGCTTTGTTCGCGAACCACCGTCCCGGCTTCGCTTCCACAACAGCACGGGAGGCAGTGTCGAGTGCTCGGCCCGTGGACATCCGACGCCGGAACTTCGCTGGCTCGCCCTGGACGACACCGGCGTAGTTCCCGGGACACCGGCGCTCGATCTATCGGGCCTGCGTAGAGTGCGCGCTGACGGCTCGCTAGAGTTCCTTCCGTTCCATGCCGACGAGTATCGGCAGGACGTGCACTCGGCCACTTATCGCTGCCTCGCCTCCAACCGCATCGGCGTGATCGGCAGCAGGGATGTCCACGTTCGCGCTGGTGAGTGCAGCTTTTTCGGTTAGGCGCAGTCACGCTTACCTATTATCTGTGTAAAATTATAGCAAACTCAGCGAGTTGGTGAGAGTACATCGTGAAAGCTTTTAGCGCACGCACAACAAACAATGACGTATAAAACATATTAGTTTGTGCTACACGGATGACGTGCGCGTTATTGTCATGATGTATGTAGCAATTTATATAGGGAACTAGCAAGCGCCAAGTTTTCGAGAAGTGTTGGGAAAGCTGTCCAGAGGATAAATATTGTTGCGTGACAGAGATACCCCCCCCCCCCCCCCCAAGAGCACTTTTTTTCTTGCATTCTTGAGGGTCCACAGGTGACAAGTATTGCTACTCTAACGGTCGTGTTCTATCCGGCATTCTGCATCTCTGCCTTTTGCCGTATGTGTTACAGAAACTTGGCTGGTTGCCAATTGCAAATATAAGAACACTACCAAAAATAGAGAAGTTTTCATAAAGTAGTGGTCCACAATATGACGGAACTACTGTAGTTATCATTTCTATGTTATCCTAACGTGGAGTGTAGAGTACTCGGGATTTGAAATGTGATGGTGCCGGCACATGGCCGTTCGTACGGAAAACGCCTCCCTTGGGAGTCGGTAGAAGCAAGCTGCTGCATTCTATGTAGCTTGAGGGTGTTTCGGACCGATGGTTATAGATGCCTGTCGCCAATGCTCTGCACCGCAGTGCCAGTGGTGAGCTGAAAATGACAGTTCGCGTATAGCGTGTCACACTCACATGGGTGAGTATGCACGAACACGGCAATGTTACAGTGCAACTATATATGGTGAACTAATTAAATATGCTCTTTCAATTATTGTTTGTATGTGTACACGACTCAATGAATCGTAATGTTATTCGGTTATAGGGCAGTGTTTTTCTTTATTATACGACATTACATATATTAACGTCTTCTGCTTAATATGCAGTAAAGAACTTGCTTACTGTTAAAGACTAGTTGGTTTCAAAAAGGAAAATGGAGATCATGGTCTAAGCAATGAAATGCCGCAGTGCTTAACGCCTCGGTGCAGCTCGAAAGCGTGTTTTGTATATCGCGTTGCACAGCTCCTGCTTTTGACGGCTGCTCGGTTACCTTCATTTTGCTGTGGTCTGATGCGGCCACGCCATTGCTAACCCTACTGCGTTCGTGGACAGGCAGACGGGCCGGGGAGGACTTTGGTTCTGCAATACCATATACACAACAGGATCGCTACAGCACACCGACATTACGAGTGCCGTGTGTGCGAGCAGCGGGGGTCGGAAGGACCGAGGGCTGACCGCGGGGGCTGTTGTGGCATAACCAACGCGCGTCTCTTGTGGCCAGCTCTTCCTACCCTCGTGGCCCACGTTCACGGGTGTCTCGCTCTCGGCCTTTGCGGCTGAGTCGTCGTATGTGGCTGGCTGGCAGCGCGTGTCACCGAGAAAATGAGATCCGCCTTCGCGACAAGTCCGAGCCAAATGTCGTCTTGTCCGCAACGTTGGTCGTGCCAGGATCCCGCCGTTCACGCGCACCGATTCCAGACACCCTCGCTTTTTTGTTTGGTGTCGCTTGTCGTTTTCCTTCAGGTCACCCTTCCGCCTTGTCGTCTGGTTTGTCTTCTGCCCTGGCTTCTGGCTTTGCTTCTCACTTGTCTTTTTTTTATATATTTCCTCTTTACTGTCTCCTGTCTTTTCCAACCTGCGTTCGTAGCGGCATGCGTTCATTCAAGAAGAAAATGGTGCCCGGAGAGAGCCCGAAGCCGTCCGCTATGGGTCGGAGGGCTGCTTGGCCTTACTTTAACCTAGACGCTGCCCTGCTATACGCTGTTGCTCCCTATCTCTCTCGTTCCCCCTCTCTTGTTGGTTGCTGGCTTGAACTCCTTCGTTCTTCTTACACACCGCAGCATTTCCGGCCCCCTCCTCATTTTTCTTCTCCTTCCTACGGTTCACGTCCCATGCGAGCGAATCAATGCTTCGCTACAGCCGCGTTTACTTTTTCGTTTCCATTCTGCGTGGCAAGCTTGCAGGCAGTGGGTTCAGCTTCAGTTAGGAAGCGGATATTGCTAGTCTGGGAAGGAGAGAAGTTTCGTTTCGCTGACAAGCACGTGTACCAAGCTTGGCATGGTTTGTTTTGGAAGAGCGGCCAAGGCTGTGGTTTCGGCTTGCGGTCAGGGGCGTCACGCTAAAATGGAGCGGAGGCAGAAAAGGGGGCAGGCAGTCAGATGGCGAAGAGGAAAAAAAAAAAAACGGGGATGGCATCGGAAAAGAATTGAAGGCGAGGGACAATTGATTGCTCCAACTTGGATGACGGTGCGTTTCTTGACCGAGTCTCCAATGTTTAAATTTTTTTGCTTGTGTGTTTTGTGTTCTTAAAGGCGGACCTCTTGCTGACCATTTACGGGGACACTGAATGAAATGCCTACAGGGCAATCAGAGTATTGAGAAACATACTTTATTTCCTGAAAGTGTACCAACGAAGGAGACAGTCTCAGTGGGAAAAGACTGAACTATATATTTTCGCTAAATCTTTAAACCAAGAAAAAAATGTGAAGAATCGATCGATCTTGCAAAGAAAGAAAACTCGCATATAAACAATATTTTATGAAGCCTCGGCTAAATGATCGCATTACTGAATATACATGCTACTTGTTTTGTCTGAGATTATGTACGGTAATCGTGGATTAAGACGGGACTTTTAAGCACATAACAAAGAACCTCAGGTGGTCGTAATTTTCGGAGCCCGACACTACAGCGCGTGCCCAAAGTCACATCGGGGTTTCGAGACCTCGGTGTGACTTGTAACGACATGAATTATTATTTCTATTATTATTATTATTATTAATATTATTATAACCCAGGGATTAGAGGGGGGAAACCAGTCTTACTTATTTTCCTAACTTTTCTTTTTGACTACTCTTTCTCCAAATGATATGCGCTCTTGAGCAACAATGACGGCAGCAGCTTTCACACAGCAAAAAAAAAAAAAAATGAAGCACCTAAAAACACGCAGTGAAAATAAGCCCGTACTGCGAAAATGCTATAAAGTTCAGGCTGAGCAATCGGTTGACGCTATTATGAAGCTCAGTTTCATTTATATTGAATGTTTTTAAACATCTAGTTGATAATGTCGAGTCGTTTCTATGCGAACAGCGTTGCCGGGAAATTAGTGGGCCGCCGGCAGTTGCCGTCGCAGCGACGAAACGCGCGTTCTCGCGACCGGTTCGTTTGTTTGCCCTTATCACTTAGCCTCGGGGCTAACGCGACGAGTCAACTTCTTCCTTTCTCTCCCACAAGTCAGAGTTGACTCGTTCGGGCGCAGCCTGCAGCGCGGCAACTGTCGCCGCTATAGCGTTCAACTTTCGCAGCTTTCCGTGGCGCGCTTCTTGGGTGCGCACACTGCATCATTTTTGTTTTTCTTGTCGTCATCGTCATTGCTGCTTGACTCGAACTACGCTCAGCTATATTACGAGAATGTTGTTGCGAGGGTTAAGAACAAATAGCGCTTAATGTACACCCTCCTCTCATGCTTCGCTTTTGTTTTCCTGAGGCGCGCGGGTTAATAAAAGCACGCCTGCCTGAGCACGCTTGCCTGCCAAGCTAACGCTGAATGAAGGCGGCACGCTTTGTTTGTTCTTGTTGTATTTGTTGTTGTTGTTGTTGTTGTTGTTGTTGTTGTTGTTGTCGCTGTTCTGTTGCTGTTGCTTTCTTTGTTTGGCCTGCAAGAACTCCCTGGTCCTGTCGTCGGGTTCGCTGAGCTGTACGTTCCGATGACAAGCTGTTGCTGCCGACTCCTTGGATCCTCTTCCGCACCGATGACTCGGGATCCCGGGCGCGCGGCTCTCGTCTTTTAAATTGGGGAAAACAAACCTTCTTGCTTTCGCTGGCCTTCCTTTTGTCTTTGAATCTACATTCCCCGCGCCACCGGTGCACGAAGAGACTCCCTCGTTTGCCTCAGCCTTCAACAGCTGCGACAAGCTCTTCCTCTTTAAAGGATGTACCCTGACGCTCACGAACGTGTTAAGCATTATTGCTCACGAAGCCGTAGGAAGGGAGTGAGTCGGGAAAAAACAAATTCCAACAGAAGCCGTTCGACTAAGATAGCGGGGTATTCAAACTCGGCTTCATGTTTTACACGCTTACAAGTCTTACTGCCATCAATTTACAGCTACTTTCACCTAGCGCTACGCGTTAGAAGAGGGATGTACCAGTGTGGACAGACATCTGCAAGAAAAAAAGACACGTGGACACATGCGCTTGTTGAGTACGAGTCGTTCACTTATGGATGTCCCTTTAACTTGGTAATTGTTCTTTTATGATGAGCTGAGTGTCCCAAAAAGAAACATTCACGAAACGTGTGTTATATGTAGGCTGTATAGTCAGTAACGTGTAGGAATACAAGGGAAGACATCAAAGTGATCCAAGAAGATGTGAGGCTAAAATGCATAATTTTACGTGCAGATCGACGTTTCTCGGTGCCTTGTGCATGGCAAGATATTTCAACGCTTCGATAAAGGTAAAAACGAAAGTAATAATAAATATAAAATTAAAAATCACATGAACTTCGTGTTCGCTTGCAAAGTGTATAACTGTTCAGAAGGGCATTAATTCGGCCTTCTATAAGATGAAGAACATGCATTCACGGTTTTTCAAGATACACAAATACACCTGATGACTCCCTCCGCTGACTTAGCTGAGACAATAAAATTTGTATCGTGAAGAATTTTTCAGACTTGTACAGATGAACGTTTCGGCTCGTAGAGCGGAGTTGAATTGAGACAGCCTAGAACAAACCACGAAAAAGGGTACGGACGTTCAGTTGCTGTAAAAATATTTTTTTTAAATTTAATTTAGATAGATTAAAGTCAAGGGCAAGGACAAAAAAGTAAAATAAAAACGGCAATAATATCGCCATTTGACTATATTCATAAGCAGAGAACATAGGTTAATAGCAGAGAACTATACATTAATAAGACTTTCTAAGCAGCAATCAGTCACTGATGTCT